AGTGTGTAATTTACTCGAATGCCTTTCCTTTCATATATTTTAAATGACTTGCAGATTTATTACTGGATTACCTCATTATGACTGTAACAAAAGATGTGTGCCACACAGTGTGCTCCTTAGGTTATGAACAGCTCGTGCAAACGTGCGTATGTGTGTGTGTGTGTGTTCCTCCATGAACGCGCACAGCTCTGGTTGCAGTTTCGCTTGTCGCCAGAGGGGGCGTAGTTCTGCAAAAACTCAGAGACTTGCGTTTAGATCCTTTAAATATTTAAAAATGGCAATGTTAAACATTTGATGAAATGTGTAAAGTCTTATTTCTGACAGTCCTAATAATAACACACATGTTGTGAAGAATCAGATTGAGTTTTAATGCTAATCTATTATTGTTGTTGAAACAGTCGAGACTCACGAAGACGAGATCACTTACGCTGAACCAGCGTTCTCCAAGAGGAACACACACAAATCAGTAAGACTATTTCTTTTTCTTAAGTGTGTTTGTATCATTTCTGCATCGAGTCAGATGGAGATCAGTGTTTTAGTCTGCATCATCATCATCACACACACGTAACAGCACCTTATCAGATAAGGTTATCAAACACGTTACTTAGAGAGAAAAAAAACCTATGCATCACATTGCAATCTTTAGGATGAACCCATCACACCTATCTTCACAATAATTATTATTATCTTCTTTTATGTATTTTTTACAGGAAGTAAAAGAGGAGGATCATGTTTTTTATACACCAGTCGGAATGAGAAAAGCATCAAGACCGAACTGTGTGACCAGCAACAACCTTCAAGTCTGAGTCTATGGCTGAGCTTTTGGTGAGAATCAATCATCATTTGTGTGATGCTTAAAGATGATTCATGAAACGGTCTCCTAAAATCTGCCAAAGAACGTGAGGACATTTAACAAATGATCTAAATCGTTTGGCCCATTGGAGAATGTAATGTTTGGGTCTTAAATAGACCATGTGTGTGAGTCTCATTAGATGCAACACACTCCTCAAGAGGTGAGAAGCTGCTGCGGTCTCGGTTATTGAAATAAACATGGTCTGATCTTCTGTGATGGACTGCATGTTCATGAGAATGTGTCTTCTGCTAGATGTGTGTGTTTGATGTGCATCTGCTGTGAATAGTGTGTCTGTGAATAGACTGCGGTTGAAGGGCTTTTTCCATTCCAGGAACTGTTTGACTTCTGCTCGACACGATACCTGCTTTATAAACGCTGAGCTCATCAATACTGCTGTTAGACTAAAGGTCTTCAATAATACAGAGATATTACTTCAAAATATGAAAATAGCATATGAGTTGTGTGCATATGCATCATATACTCATACTTTACCCCAACCCGTTTTTTTGTTTGTTTTTTTCATCTGTCAATGTGTGTGGGAGTCATTTTAGCCTTTGAGCATCAATTACAAAAAGTTGCACAAGTCCATAGGACTGGTCTCATTTTAAAGAAGACCCGTAGCAGATTATTGCTTAAATAAATAAATAAATAAATAAATGTAAAAGTTGAACCAAAAAAAAAAGTTTATGAAAATGATTTACGAACATTATTTTATTTAAAATGTATATTTTATGAAACATGTTGAACTCTAAAACGGGTTGGAAATCAAAGCTATCTAAAGTTGTGTTTTCTGAGGTTGATTTTCAGTTTAAGATTAACTCTCAGAAAGATTTTGTTTGACAAATTATTCATGTAATTTAATGTGTTACATTTTGTATAATATATGTAATATATGTTAAATTTTACATAGATTTAAGCAGATTGAACACAATCAAATTAAGTTAGGGCAAAATGGCAGTTGGCTTCACACTTTACTGTGGATGTAATTATTTTTTACTGAACATAAATGGTTTGTGTTTAGACAACATTAGGATTTTGGACTGTTAAGACATAATTATGTGGACCTTCATAAAAAAATAAACATGTCAACTAAATATAAATATATTAAGTGCACAACCTTCCTCGTTTTTTTATTTATTTGAGTATACTTACACAAATCTTAGTTCCTTTAACCCAGCTGAGCACTGTTTCGTACACACACGTTCTGTTTTCTTTTGTTTTTCTGTGTTCATGTTAAAGAAAACAATTATTGTGGCCTATATATTGTTGAATGAAGTTCTTAAGCTCTTACCTTGTTGTTGTTGATATATTAATATGTTGTCTTCTTTTACCTGAAGGCTTTACGGTAATGAACAAACCCAGAAAATAGCACAAGTTTCTCCAAACACAAGTTTAGACTTCAGTGTTGTCAGTCAATTCTGCTGGAGTTTTGTGTGACCTAATGTGACCTTTAAACACTGGACAGAGCAAACATGATCTTGATTGATGGAAATGTTGTCATAATTATTTGTTATTTACAAATATTCAAAAAAGAGAACATAATGCGTCCAGTTTCTACCACATCTGAGCTCCTTTTTATTCAGTTTTTTTTTTAATTTTTTGATTTTGTCGTGATTCACAGTAGCACATGATGACAATGCAGTAGGGGTCTAATGATTAGACACACACGGCTATAATAAAATTCATATCATAAAGGAGATTTAAATGTCCCAAATGTAAAATATTTTTCCACAGTGGGGTGATGAGCCACATGGGGGCGCTCCACATTATCAGATCAATTTGCTCTAAATACACAATGTGATTCTTAGTCATAAAACTACGGAGCCCCTCTAGTCCCACTTTGGTAAAAAAAAATAATTATAATTATAACACCTGAATTCTCATTATAACATGAGAAGGATAGATGTTTATAATTATATTATCTTGTGGCCTCAAGATAGTAACTCGTGGCCTCAAGATAGTAACTCGTGGCCTCAAGATAGTAACTCGTGGCCTCAAGATAGTAACTCGTGGCCACAAGATAGTAACTCGTGGCCTCAAGATACTAACTCTATCTTGAGGCCACGAGTTACTATCTTGAGGCCACGAGTTACTATCTTGTGGCCACGAGTTACTATCTTGAGGCCACGAGTTACTATCTTGAGGCCACAAGATAGTTATAATTAATTTTTTTTACCAAAGTGGGACCAGAGGGGCTCCGTATAAAACAATTCTGTTCATAAATGTTGATTTATCCATGATTTATTGATCTCAATGTCTGGACATGAAAAACAAACAAAATGTCTAAGTGCTGGCATGACTGAACTTCTCACTTGCACTTTTAATTATAATAAAACTAAACAAAAGGATTTTCAGTGTGGAGGATGTCCTTCTTACCTCTGTTCAGTGAGAAGAAAGTCACTGTGTGGTCCCTTGGTCAGATGATGTCCAAATGGTCTAGTAGCGAACCGTTCCTACGCTTTGCATTCGAGACAGACATACCAATACAAGGTCTTCCCATTCAGGCTATCCCTGTCACCCTTACCCCTCTGTGGGATCTCGACGACTGGCTCATCCTGGCCCACTTGCGAGACCAGTTGTGTGAACACAGGGACCTGGTTCTCAAGCCATCAGGTCAACTGGGAAAAGAGGATCTCTTTTATTTATTTTTTTACTGTACTGCAACATAGAGGTCGGAGCTTCGGAGAAATAAAGTGTTAATTTTATGTTTGATATTACACATTCAGAAAGACCATGCTCTCTATTAAACGACCAAAACAGCCCTAAAATTTAATAAAATTAAATATTTTAAAGCCATTTACATTTAATCGTATTAGATGGTTATTGTATTTAACAAATTACACCTTTAATAAACATTTGCAATCGTTTTGTGAAGAGTTTATGCATGTTTGGACCGAGTTTTCCCTGCATTTTCACAGTTCTGAGCAGCAGGGGTCCCCAGCGTGCAGCGATTCAAAACAGTGAAGCAAAATGAAGAGATTTGTTTCTCCCATCATCGCAACAGATGGTAAACTGTCTGAGGCGGAACATTATGGGTACTTCTCAATATCCCTACTCGTCCCACTTGTACGGTATCTGAGCCTGGTTAGCGCTCCCCAGTCCATCTCGCTGGCTCATTCGGACAATCAGGTTCAGCTATGCGATTCAGTTCGTCCGGCGTCCCCCCAAGTTTCGGGCCATCCACTCCACAACAGTGAGAGCAGCCGATGTCCATGTTTTGCGTGTGGAGATCGCAGTCCTACTGGTGAAGGACGGGATAGAGCCGGTCCCTCCAGCAGCCGATGAGGCAAGGGCACTACAGTCCCTACTTCATTGTACCCAAGAAAGGTGGTAGGTTACGACCAATCTTGGACCTGCGAGGTTTGAATCGTTGACTCTGTCCCCTCGTGTCTTCACGAAAGTCACGGAGAGGGCTCTTGTTCTCATGAGGTCAAGAGTTCGACCCATATTCGCTCAGCCCTACAGTCATGTAGTGTTTAAGGCTAAATGCCAATTTCACTCGTATTGGTACCGATCACTGAAATTTAGGAATACTGACAATTAAAGAGTTTCAGCTGATCTTCTTCCATCATTTCCAAATTCTCTTCAGTGTTCATTTCAATGCATCAAAATTATAAATGATGTTACATTATTTTATTAGGAGCCTCGGCCTGAGTCTGGATGTGCCATGTCCTCCACAGGAAAGTAAATCGGATCAGATGGTGGGTAATCAGCATCATTCTCCTGTAAGAAAACACAGATTCACAGAAGGTTAAAGTGATGAGAAGGATAGATGTTTCAGTTCCACAAACACAAAAATACTGTGGTTTTCAGTTCTTCAATATTTAACACAGTCTATAAACCTGCATCAAACTGTCATCTCCTGTCCTTCAGTAATACAAAAATTGAAGTATTATGATTTCAATTTCACATTAAAAAAATGTTTAAACTGTTATATTGGTGATTTCTAACAAAACACTGGCTCTCTGACAAAAGTTGCACTGTTGTATTATATGAACCGTTTTTTAGTTAATTTGTGAGCGTTAATTTGACTGCCTCACTGGTGAACTGTAGTGTTAAAGAAAAGACAAAAAAATACTATTCAAGGTTTGCATTTATATTTTTCTTTTTATATTTACTGTTAAATCATCTGATATGTAACACTTACATCCTGTGGTACTGGTGGTGCATGTGTACCGTGGTGACGATAGTAAATCACAGCACCAGCAGCACCCACAACTGCAGAAACCAGCAGAAGAACACTAACAACTATTCCTGCTACAGCTGCTGGAGACAGACCTGACCCTGGAACATCTACAGAGAAACAGACATTATTACTAGAGATTGACTGATAATCCATCCAGTATTTAATAATATCTTTGACTCATATTTACACATTTCTATATTATACATACACCTTTCTGGTCATCAGTTGTATGATATTGAATTAACTTATAAATGCCACCTTCTGTTGTTTTTAACAACAGCCGTTAAAATCACAATATTCACTGGAAAACTGCATTTATATTTTAATAAAATTAGTCAAAGTGTCAAACAGTTATTGGGTTGATTAAAAATATTGAACTGTTTTTTTTTTCCTCAAAAGAAAATGCATTTAATGGCTGAATTATACACTCACCAATGACAGAAACACTGAATCTCTTCACTCTAGTGATGCTGAAGGTTCTGTTGATGAAGATCATCTGTAGTTTATAGAGTCCAGAGTGTGTGTTTGTGGTGTGTGTGATGGTCAGAGATCCAGTCTGATGATCCAGCTTCAGTCTGTCTCTGAATCTCTCTTTACACTGATCATCTGTACAGATCTGACTCTGATCTCCAGTGATTTCAGCGATGAGAGTGTCATTAAAATACCACATCATCACATCACTTGGTTTTTTTATTACACCAGGATGTAAAGCAACAGATTCTCCCTCCTTCACTGACTTTCTCTTCACTTCATCTCGTTCAGCAGCAGAAACACCTGAAACACAAACCAACAGATGATTAAAGTTCTTAAGATGAAAACAACAAAAATTTATTTCAATTCAAGTAACATTTATTTATATTTAGCGCTTTTTACAATCCAGATTGTTTCAAAGCAGCTTTACAGAGATAACAGGAAAATAATGCATCCAGAATAAAATGTCATCACAGTCCAGCTTAAAAAATTCAATGTTTGATACACTGCGCTCAATGTGATCACTGTGATCAATGATTCACTGAACAAAATTATACATTTAACATATAATTATACATTTATTATATTACATTTAAACATTCACTAACTCACCATGAACAGAAACACTAAAGATATTTACACTGACTCTGCTGGTGATGATCTTCAGTGTATATTCTCCAGAGTGTGTGTTTGTGGTGTGTGTGATGGTCAGAGATCCAGTCTGATGATCCAGCTTTAGTCTGTCTCTGAATCTCTCAGTGCCTTCATTACACTGAACATCTGTACAGGACTTATTGAGATCTCCATCGATTTGAGCGATTCGAGTGTCATTAAAATACCATTTAATATCATATTGTTGGTTTGTTTGAACACCAGTGTGTAGAGTGACTGAATCTCCCTCCATCACTGACACTTCATCTGATCCAACACCGGAAACACCTGGAGAAGAAATGAACATATATTAACAAATTCACAATATAGTTTAATCTGAATTTGAATAGTAATTTGAATCTCCCACATCAATAGTGTTTAGCTACATTACATTTTAATTTGGAAGAAGCTTTTCTCATATTAGATTCAAGTTATATTAGTCAACACTTTAAAGTATGTGATTTATTGGTTTAGTATAACAAATATTTAACAGTTAATGCAGCATCTGTTTTGGCATCCTTTGTCTAGCATTACATCATATGATGGTGCTATAATTCATTTAAATGTTATTAAACCATTCAATCGCACTAAGAAGGAAAAAACACAAATGTACTGGTGCATCTGAACCGGTTCTCTATGGATACTGAGGCTTTTTTAGGTCGGGTAGGATCTGTGATCTCTGACCCGGTTTGTTCATTGGCTTCCATGACTGTGATATATGCTGTGTTTTCCATCAACTGGCAACCCGAGCTGTCGAAATACTACTGGGCAGAATCCCACAGACCAAAACATTATCAGACATTCTGACGCGAAACACACATTTCAAAGAAGAATAAACGCCTGTCGCATTATTTCTATTAGAAAAAACTGAACAGTGTGTTTTCTATACAGTACATATCTGCAAACATATTATACTTGCATTATTTAGTGTAGTATTGCATTCAGCTGGTGCTCTTCCGTAATTTTTGTCTGAAAAATTGTACATTTGTTTTTATTTTTATTTTATTTTTCTTCATCAGAATGGAATGAAACTTGGTTTTGCACTTGCTATGTGAACACACACAAAAAAGAAAATCATGGACATGATAGGAAAAAGTTAAATGGTCCTAAAGAAAAAAAAAAAAGAGTCACACTTGTGCTCTCAATGGGAGACGAACTCCATCTAGTGAAAACTTTTGGTACTGTACTGTATTAAATTTTAAACACAGCTTGTTTAGATTTATAGCTTTGATTTTCTCAGTTTTAGAGTAAAACGTGTTTTTGAAAGTATTTATTTCACATATTGGAAATAGTATTTTTGCACATTTTTAATAACAATAAACGTAAAATTCAGTAACTTTTTTTTTAAGTTCACTTTTTAAAACTTTTTTCCTGAGTGTACCGCTCTTAGTCACAACACGAAGGCTGAGGTTCTTTTAACTGATGTTTAATGCTCTCTGGACTCAGACATCAACATCAACACCGTAGAACTAAAAGGATGAATATACAGCCAAAACATATCACAGTCAGTTACATGGAAAACACACGAGTTTAAACTCGTACATAAACAGAAAATACATACCACTTTTGCCTGCTTGTGAGCTAAGAGAGGGGGTTACATCTTGAAGCTTCTTGATTGCATGACTTATCATAATGATAAACACGTTAAACCTTGCGATTACATCTTTTAATATGATCAGGAGAATTGTAAACTCCGACCGCAGTTCTGACTCGTTGTCTCTGTTTTGGAAATGTTTAGGTTATTGGAATAAGACCCTCACCCTTTTATTATTATTATTATTATTATTATTATTTTTCTTCTCTCTCTTCTATGTATTTTTTTCTTCTCTAAGTGATGTATCAGCACGAATGTAACTGTATGATTGTTGATCTATGCCTTAATTGTTTGTACTTGAATTCTATATGGCAATAAAAAAAATAAATAAATAAAAAAAAAGTTCTGACTCGTTGTTCTATGGCAAAAACAGGAAGTGACATACAAAGACACGATGGGAACAAAATCAAATATATCCATAAAACTCTTAGAAAAAAGAATTATTGCTCAAATGAACAACAGTTGAGTATATGAATCACAACAAGCATTATAAAATAGTTGAAATATAAAAATGTACAAATTAAACTGATTCAAAGTTGCTGAAATAAATGAGTGTTGAAGTACACAAGCGCCATCTAGTGGAAATAAACATTGTGGACATCCAAAGCTTTGTGACAGCAAACATACTGAGTGTCATCTTTGAAAAGAGATATTAATAATTTAATTTAAAGTTTATTAAAAACAATAGTTATGAGTGTGATGAGAATGTGAGCATGTGGTTGTGTTTTGACAATGATTTATGAAATCATTTAGTGTCTTGATTCTCTGATGTCTCTACTAATCTCTGATTAAAAAGGTGATGCTTTACTTGTATTACTCTTTATAAGTTACAGTGATTCTGCTGTAAGGCCAAATGTTGTGACCATCAGATTTTAAAAACCTCTATGATTTCATACTGACTTAGACATCAAGAATCAGTATATGAATCTCAACAGTGGTGACCTTTCAAAAACGATTCATGTTGCAATGAATGCTGGAAGCTGTGTATTGCATTGTGTATTATGGTAGTACCCAGCATGCATTGCAGCATGAATTGTTTTTTCAAATGGTCACCATTCTTGAGATTCATATCCTGATTCTTGATGTCTGTGTTATTCATTGTAATGCAATATATTTTCTTGTTTATTTTTTTGTGCTCAAACCTTCTGTAAAATGCTCCAAATGATCTATAAAATGGTTTTCTCTTATGCTATAGCAGCACAGCTCAGAATTAAACTAAGAATTTAACCTTTTAATCAGAGCTTAGACTCTGATTAAGATCAGTCAGTCAAGTCACTAAATGATGATCATCATCATTATTCCTTAACCAAAACCACCTTATCATACTTTTCCTTGACCTCTCTGCATAACAAACACGTGTGTTTTAAAACAATGAATTACAGCAGCCAAAGAAACGCAAATGTGCAAATGTCAAGAGACCAACTAAAGCAAACGCTGATCTCCATCATGGTGACCTTAAACCTTGTTTCTCTTTCCTTCAGTGATTATGCTTATTAACAGCAGGTGTTCATCACTAATGCTCAATCATCTCTTAGTAACTTAACTACACAATTATCATTCTGGGATCAAGAATATTCCATAACTGAACTTAGTGAGGCCAGCAGGGGGTGCTCACCCTGTGGTCTGTGTGGGTCATAACGCCCCAGTAAAGTGATGGGGACACTATACTGTCAAAAGAGCACTGTCCTCTGTAAATTATGTAATTTCTTTTTCTTTTTTCACCAAACGTTGCTAGAATGTAAAATGTAAATTTAAAAACAGAATGCAATGCCATTTCACATATTGCAAATTTGATCATGAATCTTCTATCTTGGAGAGAGAGAGTTCTTACCATTGTAGAGTAAAATGAAGACCACCAAGAGCGAATAAAAGAGAAGATTCATTTGCAGCACGTTTTGATTCTGATCATTCTGTTCTTCTGCATTAAAGGAATCTCAGTGAAATTAACATGGGAGCCTCCATGATGGAAATAGAGGGTAACGTCGCCAGTGTGAGACATAGCTGTGAGCATGGGTGTGAGCTATGGATGTGATGTGAGAGAGAGGGTCTTCTCTTCTTGGAGGATTCCTGCAGTGTAGACGCTGCCTACTGCCCTCCACTGGTCAAAGTGTGAACTACATTTTTATAGATAAGTCATGTGTTATAAAAGAACTGAAGAACTGACCCGGAGATCAGATTATATCGTCACTGTGTCCAAACAAAGATAAAAGATAAAAAGCCTTAACTCCAAGTCCTGCCAGTTTAACAAAGAATATATTTATTTCTGCCTTCTGCAGTCTAGGAAAACTTGTCTCAAGACTCACACAAGCCAAACATGCTTTCCTACAATGCACAAAGAACTTACCCCACATTGCCCCAACCACAATCTACACACTTTAACCGAATCCATGCGGGACAAAAAGTTACATGAACATGTTTCCTAACTTCAGGTTGTGTATAAAGTAGTGTGTACCCCTAATCTCGGGATTGTTCAGGTGTGGGAGAGTCTATATTGACCTCTGGATCTGAATCTGACTTGACTGTTGTTAGGCTTACTTTATTTTATTTGAATGTAAAGCTGTTCTGTGAGGGTATTAACTGTGAGGCTCATAAAAACAGCTGATTTTATTTCCCTAATTAATTTAATGAACAAAAGGGTGAATGTTTGTTGCAGAGAGCACTGAAGATAATGTGCTGAAGCGTTTGCTCTAGTTCATTTGTTTTTAATTCACTTTGCACTTTTTGCACTATGCAATCCAGAAAAAAAAAAGTTTTGATGGACTTCTGTACTGTAACTCCCCCACTGTTAAACTCCACAGGAAAAAGCCTGTAGTAAGACTGGAAAAACTGGTTAAAGAGAAAATATCTGATCAGTGGTCTCTGAAGACAAAGGACCGCTTTAGTTAACATGAACTAAGAACAAACAATACTTCTACAGCATGTATTAACGTTATTTCAACATTAATGCACTGTGAAGTAACATGAACACACAATTATTAACAACTGGATTTTTATTAACTGAAATTTAGTTAGTAATGTTAGTTAATACATTATCAAATGTTGAGAAAAGAGACCTAAAGTTTACCCCCCCAAAAAAATATCAATGTTTTGGAAAAAAAAAAACAATCACATTGCATTCTACATTTACATTATTCTAGCAACATTTGGTGCAAAATTAAAAATAAATTACATAATTTACATTAGCAAAGTTTTAATATGCATATTGAAACGCTTTATAAGTTGGTACATTAAAATGCATTACAGAAATGATAAGAGAAGAAAAAAACTGTGGCAAAATGATCATTCAAATGTTATTTTTACAGTCACAATCAAGGCAATTGCGATTCAATTTTCATGAAATGTCCCGCCTTGCTTGCAAATGAACATTTGAACTCACAGACATACATATATATAATTATTATTCTTTTGAATTATTATCATTAAGGATTGTGTTTAGAATCATTTTAAAGGTCTCAGGGTGACTGGTACAGATGTCTCATTCCCAAAGAAGTAAAACAAAAGGCAATAAAGTTCTTAAGAATATAGAAATTTCTTGTACACAGAAGGGTGCATCTTTGAGTTGACACATCTGGTCAGTTGTCTTGAATGCAAATTACCACTAAGCAAATGTTGACTCAGCGTTAAATAGGTTTCCATATGAAATGAGGTTTGGCTATATAAGGAAAATGCAGCGGGAGATCAAGGCTTTTGTCTGTATTCAGATTAGCCCGTGAGGGCTCTCAGCTCATCATATACGACTCTCAGCTCATGTAGACACACAAGGTCAGGTAAAATATGTTCTTTGATGGTTTGCATTGATTATCTTTAAATTGATTATGGAATTGTAATAATACATTTACCTGACATAATAAATTGTCATATTTGATTATTCTAACAGACTTTGACTTTATTTTCATTACAGCTGAAATAGTCAAACATTACCGTAGATTTAATGTTGCACAGATATCATTGATAAAACTTTTTCATTTTATGGAGTCAGATGAAACGAGTTAATACATAAGATAAAATGTATTGCATTTAATTAAAAGTCCCTTTGCCATGAGAAGAGACGGTACACGCGTGAAACCTTCGTCTCAAATTGAACGCCGCCTTTGGATCGATTTAGTAGGTCTTACACAGTCAACTGAAAAATGCTAATTTGGGAATAGAAGCAGGAGCAATCAAATAGGTATAGATATATAGTGATATTTAGTGATTAGATATATATATATATAGCAAATATAGTGAAAAGGGATGAAAATATTCTGATCATCAGTCAAACTTCAGGATAGTAAGATGAATCATAAATTTGTTAAAGATGAAACAATAATACTATATCAGCAGTACAGGCTTAATTCATTACCTTTCTATAGTTAACATTCATTCTCTAACTCAGGTTTATCTCCCTCAAAAGTGTAAACATTGAGTCTCCCCGTCACCATCAAAACACTGAGAGCGTTTAGCACAGATCTGTCAACCGATAACATGATTTTGTGGTGTGTGTGTATACTTTAACAGGTGGTGTCAGCCACTGTGGTGTCAGACGTGCAAGACAAAATTAGCTGCATTTACAGCTTCAAAGATTAAATGAACATATTAAAGTGAATGCATCATTATGATCAAATGTGCAATAATGGACCCAAACATCATCATGGATACCGTTCAGAAGGACAAATGAATTAGTTCATGGTTTACTTTGACGTGTCCAGGATAGACTCAAACAGTCGTGGTGCCTACTTTTGCAATGATTGAGTTGGAGAAGGTGCAGTGTGTGTTAAGTCAACTAAACTGTGTCAGTCCAGAAAAAGATGCATTTAGAAATCTGCTACACCTTGTAAATGAGTCCTGTTGACCTACTGTACCTGCTCGAACACTGGTAAGAGGAAGAACAGAAAGACAGGATCTAAAACAGAGAGAGGTACTTCGGTGAACAGTGATTTCTTCATTTTTCATCTGCTAAATACTGTTGTTACAGTGCCCTCTGGCATTTAAAATCAAATCATACAACATATTTCATACCAGATGGGGGCAGTATACCTCCAGAAATACCTCCGCGGCCACGCGCACTCTCATGTCTTCAAACAACACGGGCGAGCGCTGTGTTGCTCTGTCTCCCTCATGCATATTTGCATATTAATCAAATCAATTGACACGATAGTAAAAGGTTGGAAGACCGCCATTTCACGTGGAGCATTTGAAGATTTTTACAGATTAGAGACTAAATGAACAACATCTCAATACTAAATTATAAAGGCGGTGCATTTCGACGATATGGGAAAATTAAAGCCCAGGCTATTATTTCTAGTTTTATGATATTCGTTTT